GCTGAGGGATTCGGACTTTCTCCAGAAGCTGACGGGGAGCCACTGAGAGCTTTAAGCTGGGGCCCGACGTGGTCAGACCAGAGGTTCTGATGAGCCGCTCTGTGCAGGGCCGGCTGGCTGGGCAGTGTGGGATCCAGGCAACGGGCCAGGCAGGAACGGTCTGGTTCCAGCAGGGCCTTTGGCAGGGATAGAGAGGTAGGCAGGATCCCAGAGCCATCCAGGGGGAGGAAGGAAAGGGTTTGGCACCTCCTTCCATCTTGGGCGTGAGGGAGAGGAAGGAGGTGCCTGGCACACACAGAGGCTCCGTGAGCACTGGGCTCCCTGCCTCTCTGCGCAGATCAGCCAAGTCTCAAATTAGCAGTGCAGAGGTCCTCTGAGTCCACTTGCTCATTGTCAGTTCGTGCTGGTCAAGACAACGCCCACCTTCTCTCCTTTATTAAGATGGCTTTCCTTTCTCTCAAAACCTTTGCTAGAGATCAATTCTGCTTAAGTGGGAAGTGTTACAAGAAGGTAGTACCGCCCGCACAAAACTTCCAGTGGCTCAGACTGAACCGCAGCGCCCGCCGGGGCAAGTCAAGACACCGGAGGGCAAGCGTTAAAGGAAGGTGAAGCCCCAGGCCCAGAACCCCCAGCCACGTGCTTGCACAAAAGGGGTCTCCTGATTCGGAGCAGTTCCCCAGCTTGGCAGGCCTTGCCGGCCTCCTCCCACATTGGAAATGAAACGCCTTTTCCAGTTTCTCGGCTGCACAGGACCCGGCAGCCTGCAGTCCCGACGCCTTCCCAGCAAGGAGGCTGGCTCCGCGGGGCGGGTGCCGGTCTCTGCGTGGGGCCCCTGTGTCTCGTCATGCTGGTGGCCAAGCAGCAGTGGGCCCTGGGGACTGCCACGTGCAGCATGGTTCCCTGACGAACTGGTCTCAGCAGGGAGGTCTCCATAACCACCACACGCCCCTGGAGACTCCCCTCCACCCCTTCCGTCTGCCTACTGGGTATTCACTTTCCACAGGCAGGGGCTGCCTGCAGCCCAGCTCGGCCCCCATCAGCGATCTGCAGCACCCCCACGCCTCGAGCTCAAGACACAGGTCGTCTTTGCATTTTGATCAACTACCAATTCACCTGCACAAAATTAAGAGGCAGCACACATGTTTAACACGGGGTTAGGTGGCAGGACTGGCAGTCAGGGGAGACTCCCGGGGTTCCAGGGGGGAACCCCCCCCATGACTGATGCTCCTCTCTCATCACTAGCCATCTCCTCACCTGGCCTAGATTCAGGCACCATCAGCCCCGTGTCTGCTCATTCACTGGACAAAACCCCCACCCTAGCTCCCGTTCCACCTAGCCCACACCTGCAGCCCCGCAGATAAACAGGGCCGGAAAAAATGCACACCACTGGGCTTGGTGGTCTCACTGCACTTGTCAGCTGCTTGCAGGCTGGGTATGGTACTTGTTTATTATATTAATGGTTTATTGTCTGTTAGCTCCAGGAAGGCAGGGGTATTTGTCTATCTAATTCAAAGTCAGGCATAGAGCCCGGCATACAGTAGGTACTCAATAAATACAGTGGTGAATGGCATGCTCCCCAGCATGTGGACAGGGCACAAAGTGTGTTTAAATGGGGCAGGGAGGCACAGCTGATAGTAAGGACTCAGGAGGACTGTGCCTGCAATTCTGCGGTGGATCAACCCTCTTTTCTTATTCACGACTAACCTGTTCCAATGCCCCGTGGCCACCTCAGTCTGAAAGACAGTTATGATACGGCCCACTGCCCCACTACTCGACTGCCTCCTGCCCCCGGCCAAGCCCCTGCCTGCCCATCACTGCCTCTCCCTGGATCTCCTCACTGGGCTCCTGGCCCCCAGGCTTGCCTGCTGGAATCCAGTCCACCCAGGACACACACACACAGCCCTCCCACCGTCCTCGCCCACCACGCCCACCCATGCCCTGCTCACAGCAAGGGTGATGTCCCGAACACGGCCCGGAGGCCCCCACAGGCAGGGCTGAGTTTCTTTCATTGTCCCTGTTTTCCCCGGGGCTCAGCATGGGCCCGGGTCAGAAGAGGCACCAGGAATCAATGGCTGAATGAAAGGGAACACTAGCCCTTACACAGCTGCAGGCTTTGCAGTTTACAAAGGGCGAGCGCATTCACAGTGTTACCGAGTCCTTACAGTAGCCCAGCAGTGTCAATCTGACAGGGGGTATGTCCCCAGCCTGGGGTCTTGCGACAAGGAAGCCGGGGCTCCGGGAGGGTGGCCGCAGTGGGCGGCCCAAGAGCTTGGCAAACAGCCTGGGGCCAGGCCACGGAGGCCCAAGGGCGAGTCCCAGCTCTGTCCCTGTCAGCCAGCCCCACGTCTCCCCAAACCTCTATTTCTGCATCCGCAAAATGGGGTGATAACGTGCCACTGCATCCAGCTTTCGTGCCAACACGAAGGTCAAGTGAGACAGTGAATGGTCTGCACACTGTCCAGTGCTGTGAGGAAGCGCTGAGGACAGCCTGCGGCAGTCCCACGAGTCCCGTGCCCACCCCGTGTGCAGACCTGGGGCTCCCATGTGACCCATTTTGTTCTGCTAGGAAGCTGGTCAACACCTCCAACTTCGCAGTGGATGTCTGGCTGTGAGGTTCACCACGGGGGCCCCCAACTGCTGGGGCAGTGCCTGCCTTTCCTGAGGGGACCCCCACGCTGACCCCCTCCAGCACCCTTGACTCAGGTCAACCCTAACCCTAACTCTGGCCAGTCAGAGCACTGCATCCCCCCCACAGTCATGGGTTTAGAGGTGCCCCTGAGGCCCCATCAGAGTCCATGGGGTGCCATCTGAGGGCTTGGTGGGACAGTTCATAGAAAGCTGGTCTCTTTCCTCTTGGGCTTTATTCTGGGAAGGCAGGGCATGTGCTGCTGGCCCCAATTTGCCACCATGGGGCACCTGAGACAAGCCAGAGCAGACCGCAGACGCAAGAAGCAGAGAGAACCATCTAATGACATTGTTTCAGCCCCTGAATCCAGCTGAGCCTGAGCCTTCTCATGGTCCATAAGTCAGTAAATGCCCATGTTTTGACTGAGCCAGCAGGGATGAGGCATTCTAAGCCTTGCAACCAAAGGAGTCTTGACCAACTGAAGCTCTGAGCCCTGGGGACAAGGGTGGGGCCCACTGGGCTTCCAGCCTGAACGGTCAGGCAGATGCTCAGCCCAGCCCTCTCCACCAAGCCAAATCTGAGCTTCCATTCCTTCCGAGCAGCTCCAGCCTCAGCCCCTCCTTGAACCCTTGCGACCACCCCAATCCGCTTCCACCCTCCTGGCTCAGAGCACTCTGCTCCTTCGGGACAGGAAGGAGACAGATGCTTCTGCTTTCTGACATGCAGAGCACCAGCTCTGTGCTGGGTGCATCTGGGAGGGGCTCACTGAATGTGCACACTGCAGTCCAAGCCGGGAGCGGTCAGTGAGGCTCAGAGGGATCCAGTTACTCACCAAGGTCAGTGAGCTTAGGGGGCAGAGCGAGACTCCCACAGAGGCTCACACTGACCACCAAGCCCCAGGTCTGCCCCCCACCCTCCTGCTGGGCTCAGGGAACAGCCTATGCTTGCTCTCTGCTTCTCTGAGCCCCCTTTCTCCCCGTTCCCGAGGTTTCTCTGCCCAGTGGACCCCAGCCAGCCCCTGGTTCTTGGCCCGCAGAAGCCATTTGCTACCCTCTGTCTCTCCTTCAAACCCTCCAGACTGCTCCTTCCTGCTCCCACACCCCCTCCCAGCCAGCCCTGGCTTCGGCGCTGGGGGATACAACCCACTCCTGAGGGGTAAGGCGGCAGCAGTAGCAGGTCCAACCCCCCGTGTTAGGAGCTTCTCTCCACAGGAGCTGCCCAGCACTCCGCACAGAGGGGACACTCGGCTTGCACAACACTCTGGGCGGTGGGGGGCTCCTACCCTGTTCCATTGCACATCTTGGAGGCAGACTTCACAAAGGGCAGTTGCACATATAGGTTGGAAATGGGGAGTCGGGGACTGCGGGGGAACCTGGGTCGGACACTTGTTAAGTGTGAGCTTTGAGCAAATTAACTTGGGCTCCCTGTGACTCAGTTTCCTCATCTGTACAGGAGGTCATGATAGCACTTACCTCCTGGGTTGTCGTGAGCGTGATATGAGTTAACACAAACACATGTTGAGGTCAGGCGCAGAGCCACACTGTGTAGGATTGTTATTATTGGCCTGCAAATAGCGACATGGGAGCAACCTGGCTGCTTTGTCCACTGCGGCCCCTCCCAGGCCCAAGCTTGCGTACCAAGTTCTTTCTTCACCAGTCAGCAGGGCCTGGAGTCCATCCTACTGCCCCTGGCTTGCCTAGACAGAGGGGACCGCCAGGCAGGGCCCCCATTTGACCCCATCCAACTGGGCTTCTGACACCTCGACTGTCACGCTAAGCCCTGGGTGGCACCCCAAGGCTGTTCATCACACAATGAGGCCCCTGCCTCAGGCCGCAGGGAGGAGGGTCCAGAGCCTCGGGCTGACTCTCCAGTGGGTCAGCCATCCCTCCTCCAGGAGGGCAGACCCCAGGACTCTATCTCCTCTGCAGTTCCCGAGGCAGTCCCAGAATGACAGGGAACACAGCCACCCGGAGAAGGCAAGGGGTCGAATATAACCCTCGGCAGCCACGGATTTAAAGTTTTCATAAACCTGGGGCGCCTGGGTGGCTCAGCCTTTAGGCGTCTGCCTTCGGCTTGGGTCATTATCCCAGGGTCCTGGGATCTAGCCCCGCATCGGGCTCCCTGCTCCGTGGGAAGCCTGCTTCTCCCTCTCCCACTCCCCCTGCTTGTGTTCCCTCTCTCTCTATCTCTCTGTCGAATAAATAAATAAAATCTTTTTTAAAAAAATAAAGTTTTCATAAACCAGCTCATCGGGATTCCAAATCTGGGCCTCACTCACTGAAGACGTTGAACAAACGCAGAGCCAAGCCAACCACCCCCACCCGGAAGCCCCCCGCCCCAGGAGGTGGCAAGTGCCCGCAGCGGGAAAGGATACTGAAGCTCCTGTCAGTGATAGCCAGGTGCCAGAGGTTGATGCGCAGGTCGTCCGCCGACATGTACGTCTCGCAGTCGCTGTTGACGGAGATGGAGTTGATGTGGTAGGTGTGGCCGTTGGCGAAGACCCTCCGTGGGCTCACCTCCACCATCAGATCCATGGGCTTCAGCACGGGCACCTGTGGAGGAGGAGGCGGTCTGCAGGATGATGAGGTGTCGGAGGGGGAGTGGAGGGGGGCAGGTGCCCAAGGCAGGAAATGGCATGCCAGGGCTAAATGATCAAAACCGGAGGCTGGGAATGTGCCAGTGGGCATCCATCCTGCATGTGTTGGAAATAAGCAGCGCCACGTGGCCAACATCCATCACCTGCCAGCCCTGCAGGAAAGCTTGGCCTCCTGGGATTGGTTCTGAGCCTGCTGTGTGACTTTGAATAAGCGGCCGAACCCTCTGCACCCCAATTTCCTCACCTCTAAAATGGAATGAGAAGATACCGTGGCAGCACCCACCAACTCTCCACCTTTTGTTCCCTTGTCACGAGGAAGTGCCTGCTCAGGCAAGAACTACACTTCCCAGCTGCCCCTGCAGTCGGGTGTGGCCATGTGACTGGTTCTGACCAATAGGATGTGAACACAGTGACACGGGGCTCTTGAGAGCCAAGACTGTTGAGAGGCGGGTGTGCCTTCTCTACCCGCTTTCCCCTTCCACGCTGGAAGATGAGGACCCAAGCTTTAGGAGTGAAGGCCTGTGGGATGGAAGGAGGCTGCGTCCCTGCTGGAGAGTCATGTGTCCACCAGGAACGCCGACCCTGGACCTTTCCATGAGTGAGGAATACATTTCTGTGTGTTGCGCCCTGCAATGCTGGGGTTATTTGTTACAGTTGCTGGTGTTAGCCTAACTCACACAAACTCCCACCAGGGAGGAGTCCCTGGGACAGCATCAGGTCCTGAGCCTTTGCTTCTCTCCACACGCTCTGCCTGGAACGTTCACCCCCTTTGAACTCCTAGTTACACTGACTCTGCCTGCAAGGGCCAGAAGCAACAGCCCCTCAGACACGCAGCCTGCCCCGGGAGTGGGGTCCCAGAGCCTGCTCACCCCCAGCATACTGCACACATCTGTATCAAGGCTCCTAGCATACGCTGTGCTGTGTATCGGGCACAAGGCCCCACCCCAGGAAACTGTGAGGTCTTTGAAGCTACAGGGATGGACAGACAGACAGACAAGGCTTCCTCAGTCTCTCCCAGGCCTGGCCCAGACTCGATACTCAGGAAATGGGGACTGGCATGGCCATCCTGTCCTGGGTGGGAAGACTGATGCCAAGGTGACCCCAACGTGTCGAAGTCCCAGAGTCAGGAAACGCAGAGCCAGGGGTGACTGCCTCATCAGGGCATCTTGGTAGAAAGACAGACCCCTGAAACCCTACTGCCCTGCCACCACTAGGGTTACCCTCACTGGGGACCTCACCTCTCTGGGCCTCAGTTTCCTTATCTGTGAAGAGGGATATGCTGGCCCCTGCTCAGGGCTTCCGTGAGGATCCCACGAGTTCATGCAGGTCAAGTGCACTTAGAATGGCACCCCGCACATGGCGAGTTCTCAGTCTGTGCGAGCGCCCGACTTCCTCCTTAGAAGATGATGGGAGGAGGGACAGGCCCCACACAGCCACACGGGTTTCAGCGTGAGCCCAGGGGACCCTGCCGCAGGGGCCATGGGAACTGCGTCCAGGAGAGGCAGCTCAACTGGCCTCCGGGTGAGGAAGAGCTCGGGGTCCTGGTGTCGGGCTGTGCAAACTTGTCAGCTAACTGCATGGCTCCTGGGCCTGGGGCGGCAGTTACCAGGTAGAGTCGCAGGAATCCAAGCCCAACTGGGTACAGTGCACGCTGGGGCAGACGGGCTGCTTGCCATCAGGTGGGAGAGAAAGACAATAAACCGATACAGAAGTGAGTGTGTGTGTGTGTGTGTGTGTGTGTGAGAGAGAGAGAGAGAGAGAGAGAGAGATTCACATAGCAACAGGTGCTATTTGGAAAAATATAAGGTACAGGGCCTCAATGAGAGGGTTGCAGGGGTGGTGCCAGGTAGGAAGGGTAACCAGGAGGGGACATAGGAGCAGGGCTGACGTGGGCCGTGTGCATCAGACTCGGGTTGACGTGGGACCTGAGACTCTCCTTCTCCCAGCGGACCTCCCCTAATTGCACCTCATTCTTAGGCTGGGCCAGGGGCTCCCTGGAGTGGCCACAGTCTGTCACAGCCCTGGCCACATGACGAGGCTGCTGTCTTGTCCCTGCAGTGGCTGGGAACGGTTAGGGGCACACTGGGTCTCCTCGTGTTCATCTCTGTATGGCTGGTGCTCAGTTCAGGGCCCCACACAGAAAGGTCCCCAGGGGAATGAGTGAGTGAATAAATGAATGGGTTGTGTCCCTTGAGCTCCTCAGGGACCTCTGAGATGGAAGGTGATAGCTTTGGTGCTGCAGCTGGGGCGGGTGAGCACTAAATGTTCCTTCTCATGCACAGCACCAGGGGACCCAGTGTGAGCATGTGTCAGTGCGTGTGCATGCGTGTGCATGAGTGTGGGTGTGTGCATGTGCACTCGTGAATATGGGTGTGTGCGTGTGAGTGTGCGTGTGTGTGAGCATGAGTGTGCGTGTATGCAACATCAGTGTGCGTGCCTGCCTGGCTCTGGGACAGTCTTGTGTTGCTGGCTCTGTGCCTGAGCTTCTAGACTCTCGGCCTGAGATGAGAGCGGATGGTGTGCCAGGGCCTCCGCCCTGCCCATGTCCCCCTGTGTCAGATATTCTAGGTCAGCTCCTAATCTCCCCTTCTCTTTCCTCAAGGCACAGCTGCCCCAGGGTCCCCTGGACTCTCCCAAGTCACACCTGTTCCTGGAGAAGATCAGAGCATCACTGGCTTAAGCCAAGTCTTGGATCTCAGTCTGCCTCCCCTCCTTCTGGCAACATCGCTTCCCCACCCGGCAGCCTTGGCCTACACCCAGGGCTCCAGCCACTCACTGCCATCCCCAAACCATATTTCAAAGTTATTAAAAGAACAAAGGAGAGGAAGAGTGAAAATAAATATGCCCTGAAGGTTTGGGTGTCTCATGAATAAAACATTTCCCCTCCCCCAACACTTCTAGAAGCCACAGTCTAGTCAAGGTGAGAGGCAGGAAAGCAGACTCCTAAACACTAAGGACAGAACATTGTGGGATACACAAGGCTAGACTGCAGTGAGGGTTTTTATCTGGCTTGTGTAGAAACGGCTTTACAGAGGAGAAGGCTACTAGGGTTTTAAAGGATGAATAGGAGTTCACCAAATCAACAAGATGGAGTGACTCCCTGTCTGTTTCCTTGGGGGGAGCTGGGCACTCAGCCGGACCTGCCCACCTCCGAAACCCAGGGATCTAGCATGGGGCCCAGTGCAGAGCAGCTTGTCGGTAAATAACAGCGCCAGCCTCCAGTGGGAACGGCTCAGATTCGGTAAAGAGCTGCACACGGCTGGGTGGCCTGGGTGACACGGGAGGAGACAAGGAAGAGGCGAGAGGAGGAAGGACCCAGATGCCCCTGTTCTTTCTCCCTTTCTCCTCCTCCAGGCTTGGCGGATGGTTAAGGGCCGTCTGGGGATGTGAGTGAGATACAGAGCAAAGTCTCAGATGCTGGGAGGGAAATAAACGGATTCCCACGGGCCACCCCATCAAGAGGTGATAATTGCATCCTTCCCACCAGATGAAAGCCTCATAAACTTCCTGGGGGCTGGGAGGGAGTATGGGGGGCCACATCACTCCCATTACTCAATGTGGAAGCTAATTGGCCTCCTGGCTTTCTCAGAATTTATTTGCACAATTTGCCCGTCATTTAGCAGCTGAGATGCTTAAACATTTATTTCCCCATCTCGGGAACAACACTGATTACCGTTTCATATTTACGACGATTTGCTGGATGGGTAGTGAGCACGTACGCTAAGCTATTTCAGGGCAAGTGAGTCCTCACCCCCATTTTGCTGGTGAGGAAACGGAGGCACGGGGCAGGGCCCTGACTACAGCCACCTGACAAGTGGCGAGTGGATCTGGGAGCCATCGGGGAACCCGGGGGAGGCACCAACACCCCCACGCCAGGCCTCGCCACTGCCCCCCCACCGCCGGGTGGCACACACACACACATAGTTGTGAGTTGGCCCCCCTCTCCCAGGAGGACAGGCAGTTCATGCAATGTGACCCAGCCTTTCCAAATTGGCTAGAATGTGGAAACTGGGGCTGAAGGGAGCAGTACCTCTGATGCTCACTCATGGGACTCAGGCCACCTCCTTGGAGCCAGGCCAGGCCCAGGAGCAGGGGACACTAAGACTCAGACCCAATCCCTCCCCCAGGCTCTTTGTTTCACTGAGGTCTCCCTATGCCCAGAGCAGGGCTGGGCACAGGGCAGGTGCTCAGTAAGTGTGAACAAATAAATCCCAATTAGCCGTGCACCAGCATCCCCTTCAACAGACACGAGCAGAGCGCCCACTATGTTCCAGGGTTGGTTCTGGAAGGCCAGGGACAGGCATGGTGGCCTTGCTATGCTCCCTGCCCTGTTGGAGAAGGGTAGGGACAGACATTCATGGAGTCTTCCAGCAGGACACCAGTGACCATCCCCACGGCTCTCCTGGGAGGCTGGGACCTCATTCCCACTTCATGGAGGAGACTGGGATGCTGACTCTGGAGCCAGACTTCCTTGGGTTTGGATCCCGGCTCTCATTTCAGCTATAAAATGGGGTTGATAATCATGTGCCGCCTTCACAGGACTTCGGTGAGGACTGAGGTACTACAGGCAGAGTGCTTGGAAGACACATGCTGGCCACGGGAAGTGCTTATGCTCACTCCAGATCAGGAGCTGGTGGAGGCTCGTGGAGGCTGAGAGCCTCGTCCCTGTGGCTGAGGCAGGACTGGAACCCAGATCCTTGGACTCCAGAACTCTCTCTGCCATGTCTCACAGCCTCTCCCTGAAAGAGTTCTTTTGCCTTTTCACCATGTGGGGATGAGAGTGTGCAAGACCCTGCAGCTTCACCTTCCCGGCCTCTTTTCCGGCTGAGCCTCTGTCCAGGCAGCGAGAATCACCCGTTCCAGGCCTCTCTCGGACCCTCAGCAAAGGGTTTGGAATCCACAAAGTTCAGCCCACCAGTTCTCCCGGACACGCATCACCCTGCCTCACCCCCACATCCCTTCTGGGAGAAAGAGGACCGTCTCTGCTTTGCTCACAAGGAGCCCAAGGCCAGAGGCAGGGAAAAGCTCACGGCCACCCCACAAGGAAGCAGCCCAGCCAGGACCCGAACCCGGCTCTGCCTCAAATCGCAAAGGCCCTTCAAGTCCTAAAGGCTCACCGTTTCACAAAAGAAGTCTACATGGCTTCCCACTTGCCAGAACCTTCCACGTTCCACCTTACCTGCAGTGACGTCACCGTGGACAGGTCCTTAAGCTTTCCTTCTTCATCCTTTAGGTTATATCCCTCAGGCCTTTTATCTCGTTCAGTAATCTTCCATAATTTGATAGTTTTATCTTTCAAAACAGAGCAAACAAAGGAGATGCATGATTAACACCAGCACAGAGCACAGTCCACGAGACAGGGATGTACCACGCTGGGAATTCCTTGACGGTAGCCTGCTCTTGTACACGCGGGTTCCTGCTCCTTCTATGCACCCACGCCATGCCTGCGGGGTACCTGCCCTCATCTGCTGGCTCCTCACAACTGCTGGGTCAAAAGGGAAGGCACCTGCAAGGGCAGCTAGCGAACCCTCTGAACCCACTCCCAGAAAGAGTGTACAGATGTAGCGTTCTACTTGTGAAGCCCTGCAGGGGTAGACAAAAAGAGGGTAACCTGCTCGCTCTTTCTGAGCAGCATCGGGCCTATCGGGGGGCAGCTTCCCAGTGGCCGCACTTCTCTGGCCTCCTGCCACGAACATCAGAAGAGGAACCTCATGGCGTGATGGTTCATCTTCTATGTCAGTGTGGCAAAGCCAAGCCACCCAGATATTTGGCCAAACATAGGTGCATGTTGCTGTGATGGTATTTTTTTTTTTAATGGCATTAACACTTACATCCACAGAGTGCTGGGCTGAGGCTCTACTTGTTGTTGCAAAACTCTAATGCTCTTGCTGCCTCAGTCACGGAAGCCCATACAGACACAGGAGCCAGAAACTCAGAGTAGTTTGGAAAGCTGAGCCCCCCACATGGAGAGCAGCTGTTCTGAAAAGTCCCACAGCCCTGTGATGGGCTTTATGGGAATGAGAAATAAACTGTTGTTAAACCACCAAAAGAAAAAGAAAATCCATAGAGTGAAGCAGACTGCTCTCCATACTGTGGGTGGGCCTCATCTAATCAGTTGAAGGCCTTAAAAGGACTGACCTCCCCCAGAGGAAGAGAGAATTCTGCCAGCAGGTGGCCTTCAGACTCAAGCTGAAACACTAGCTCTTCCCTGGATCTCCGGCCTTCCAGGCCGCCCTGCAAATTTTGGATTTTCCAGTCCCCACAATCATGTGAGACAATTTAAAATAAGTCTCTTTCCATATATCTGCTGCATCTACATGTGCATCCCTACCTACACACACACACACACACACACACACACAGTCATCGTATGGGTCCTGCTTCCCCGGAGAACCCTGACTGCTACTGTAGCCAAAACAAACAGCCCTGCTCAGGAGAAGGAAGCGGGAGACAACCAGTATCATTAAACCCTTGACGGGTACCCAAGGACATGCCGTTCGGAAAGGGTGCAGCTGGAATCTAAACCCAGGGTCAAGAAGCTTTGAGGGTGGGGGTGTAGAGAGCCCCTGAAGCTGACCTTCCCTCCAGAGGGGCAGGAAGAGAATGACACGTCCCTCTCACATGGTTCAAGGAAAAGCAACATGTGTGTGCTGCCCCTTAGGCACCAGCCCTGTTCTAACCCACTACAGCCTTAAGTCATTTCGTCCCCCAGCGCCCCCATGAGGCAGGCACAAGCATAGCAACTCAGATGCGGAGGTGGCAGGCCGGGATGTGCACCAGGGGAGGGGCTCCGGTCCTCGGGGAGGCCCTCACTGCCTCCACTCCCCACTGGCTGAGCATGGCCTGGGTCAGGCACCCTGAGCGGGCTCAGATCCTGCACTTGGCACAGTGAAGGATGAGAAGAGCAGGAGGCCTGGAGGGCAGGCCTGGGGTCAGGAGGGGTCGGCGGGGGGGCGGGGGGTCAGGACTGACGGCAGGCTCAGTGGAGAAGTCCGCAAAGGCTGTGTTAGGCGACCCCGAGTGGGGTCTAAGGGATGAGGAAGCTGTTGGCCAGGTGAGGGGCAGACTGGGTGGCCTCCCGGAACAAGGGTTGGTGGCACTGAGTCCGAGCAGTTTTGAGGATGCCTTAGCAGCCGCACTGAGTCTGGGCTCTGTCGGGGAAGGCAGGTGGTGTCACCGTGTGAGGCTCACACGTGCCTCAGCAGGGCTGGCTGGTCTCAGGGTGCTGGCTGGGTGTCATCCATGTCACCCTTACACAACCCAGGGATGCTGCATCCACCCCGCTACACAGGTGACCGAACCAAGGCTCAGGGAAGCAAGGCCACCGCCCCGAGGTCACAGGGCTGAGTGGAGTCCAGGCCTGTCCTCCTACCCCTCAGACACCACTGATGACAGGGGCGAGAGATGCAGGAGGGCGAGCAAGGGGAAGCCGAGCCTCCAGGCCCGGGAGCCAGGCCCTGAGTGGGGCACAGCGAAGCAGGAGCCTGGCCAGGAGCCCCCTGGGGCCTGGGGGCACACACATCCTCCCTGGGGCAGAATGGTCAAGTGGCCAGCCAGGCTCCTAAACCCACACTCCTCCTGCTGCCTGCCTCACGCTCTAGAGTGACAACCCTACCCAGGGGTGATCCGGGGTTCCAGGAGAGTTAGGTTTGCCTCCTTCATGGGGATTACCAAGCTCCCTCCACACACCCCCCCCCCAAGGACAGTAATGACAGAGATGTCCCTGACCCAGCCATCCGTCATAATGCAAACAAGCCCCGCGTCCCACCATTGGCCAAGGCTGAGCAAGCTATGGGACGGTCACTGGATGGAATGTGCCCACTCCTCAAAATGCTGTTTTCGAGTTCTCGGGACCCAGAAAAACGCTCAGTGTGAGCGAGCTGGGAAAGAGCATTTGACGGCCGGCAATGCCAGCACACGTGGGCCCCTCACCATTGGTGGACAGCAGGGAGTGGGCTGCATTCTGCTGTGGAAGCCACTTGATCTTGTTGATTTTCTCTTCTATCTCCAGACTCTTGAGGTAATCAAACTCCGGCTCGTGGCTCTGGAAGGTGCTGTAGACGTCATACTCGCCCTGGCTGTGAGGTGCATTTTTACTCTGCAGGAAAACCCAGACAAGGGGGCCTGAGCTCCAGCATGGCAGGGGCCAGGGTGAGGGGCGTGCCGACCAAACCCTCCGAGGGCCCGACGCAGCCGGCCAGCCCGTGTCCAGCAGGGCTGGGGGATCCGGTGCCAGGGTCAAAGGAAACTCTGTATTTTAAATGGCCAATGACTTGGCGTGTGGCTGTGGCCAAGCCCCGTCTCCTCCTCAGTGCAGCAATCAGATTGGCTCACATTACCTGAGCACCTACTATGTGTAGGGGTGCTGAGCTAAATGCTTCTCACTCCCCGTCCTGTTCTATCTGCACGGCCCCTCTGTACTGGGCACCACCATGATTCTCCCCATTTTACAGATGAGAAAGTGGAGACTCAGAGGTGAACTGACCACTCCCCCCAAAGGCCATGTGCCCACTAAGTGCTGTCACTCGCTCCTCTGAGGGTCTGTCTGACACCAAAGCCAAGGCTCTGGCCCGCTCTTCCAGTCTGAGTGTCCAACTTGGTCCTGACTCATGGAATGTACACATCTTGGAGCAGATTTTACACGGAGGCAGAATATTCTGGAATGTCAGATTGGGGCCAGGCCATCGTCCTCCTGACTTTCCTCCATGGGCCCATCCTGGTTAAAGCAGCAGAGCTCCTAATAACAAGGACCCTCGTGACAGAGTCCTCAAAATAGTGAGGTGCTGAGTCCATCGTGGGTTTCTCAGCAGACAAGTTCAGTGTATGTGGTAATACGAAGCTTCAACCAGACGTATAACCCGCCTGGGAGCAAATGGAGACAGTCAACCAAGTACAATTTCAAGTTTCCTATTCATTTTTTCTGGAAGCATCTATTGCTGTATTTCTACACCTGTCCTGCTTCTGGCAAGCTTTCAAGTTCTTCTGTATGTTTGCTTCTATGTCCCTTCAGCTGCCAGGAGCACTGTCTATGACTAAGGTCACTGGGACCGGAAGAGAGAAAAAAAACGGAGAAAAATTCCAAAGTCAGGAAATGCGCATCTACCCATTTAATTTCTTTCTCTAAAAAGGAGGCTTGGCTTCGCAATCCCTGGTGGGCTACCCAGGTCCTTCTTGTGAAATCGGCACGATCTGGCCACAGGGCTGTGCTCGGGTAACGGGTTTTCAGCTGTCCGCTTTCTGCTATGTGTCCTTGCTAAGCTAGGCGACACCCTCTGAGCTCCGGGCTCCCCATCCGTGACATGAGGGTGCTAATAACACCTAATGGCCCCGCTGGGGTTGTCGTGAGGGGGGTTACGGGGGGAGGAAGGGAACACAGAGAAGTCAGACCTCGAGGAACACGCGCTCCGGAACGGAGCGGGGCAGGGACGCATCTGTAACATCGCCCTTGCCGCCTTCATCCCCCTCCTCCCCACTCTCCTTCTCAATCCCCCCTCCTCCTCGTCTCTTCCTCACCCCTTCCCTCTCCCCCGCCCCTCTCCTTTCCCCGTCCTCCACCTCCTTGGGGTTTGCCATGCCGTCTTCAGCATCTAATCCCTGCACCTGTTCGGTGCGTGGGTGGCCCCCTCTCTGAGGCAGGGTGGCGTGTACGCGACAACACATGGCCTGGGTTTCAGTCCCTGGTCTTCACTCACTAGCTGGGCGACTTCTCCAAGTGTCCTCATCTGTAAAACGGGTGTTGGTCCCCACCCTCTGAGGTGGGCAGCGGAGAGTAAACGAGAAAAGTGTGTAGAGAACGTAGCAAGGTGACCACACATAGTAGGTGCTCAACAAATGGGGTTTTTTTAATCATGAGGTTCTTATAGTGGTTCAGAAACAGCGCCCCTGGGTGGGTTGCTCCGGGCTGCTCCTGTCTTACCTGAAATTCTGATGGACAACAAAACCTTGCAAGGGCGAGGCCTGGGGCTGAGCCAAGTCGCCAACCCCAGCCTGAAGGCAGCCCCACGGCTGCAGAAAACGCAGTCCTCCTGTCTCCGCCACCTCTGGCCGGGACAGTGCCGGCTCACCCAGGCGGAGGGCAGAAATCGGAGGCTTAACCCAGGGCCACTGCTGGCCCTGCCTGTCCTGAATGCGTCCCCAGGGCCCAGGACAGAGCCAGCAAAGGCCTGCGTGGGGCGTGGCCCCCCTCCCACGGCCACCAGGTCCCGCCGCACCTCTGGTTCCCGCTGGAAAATGACAACCCGGCCACCCTTGTCGCCTGTGGCCAGCAGCTCTCCGGTGTGGTTGAACTCAACAGTGGAGATGATATCGGCTGCAGGGGGAGAGACAGGAAGGTGTGGCTCATTAGGACCCCAGTACTGCGGAGCTCAACTGAACAGGCCCCCCACCCGCCAGAGCCTGCACCCTTGGGCTGGGCCACCACCCAGAAGTAGGGGCACTAACGAGGGGCCGATGGTCCCCCTGTCCCCTCCCGGCTGGCCGCGGGACAGAGACCTGTTCACAGGCTTGTTTCCCTCTGTCTCCTTCCTACTTCCTTCCTTCCTCCTTCTCCTTCCTTCCAGAAGCAGTTTGGGGGTTTCATGTGCTGCCCAGGTGACTGGGCCACAATCTGACAGTAGCCGTACTCTGGGGGCCCCTGGGACCAACTGTGGTCACCCCTGCCCATCATGGGTTCCCCATCGGGGGTACCCCCATAACCTTCACACATTCCTGGCCTGGACTCTGTAGGCCCCAGAATCTCTGATCCAGCTTTAGCACAGAGCCTCAGCCCTGATCACTGCCCCCACTTCATTCTCCTACAGCAACCTGAGTCCCGGCATGTCTCGGCCCGAAACCCTCCACTGGTCCCCAAAACCGGATGCTGTTCCCTCCCAAAGCCATTGTGGGCAGCCTCCCCTGTCAGGTGGTGGCAGCTGCATCCTCCCCTGGCTCAGGCCCAAGCCTTGGGGTCTCTCTGACCCCTTTCTCTGTCTCCATCTCCAGGCGCCGTGTCCAGTCTTACTGGCCAGGCCTTCACAATGTATCCAGATTCCTCCCACATCTCCCCGCCTCTCACCTGGAAGATTCCAACAGCCTCCTAAAGGATCCCTTTGCTTCCTCCCTGCCCCTGCTTAAGCTAACCTAGCAGAGCATGAGGGAGCCTGCCCGAAACCCTCTAGATCAAATCCCCATTTGACCTCAGAGTAGAGCAAAGGTCTCAGAGTGGTCTACGGCCTGAGTGGTCTGCAGGCCCCCAAGGCAGACCGCATCGGAAGCCCAAACCTTTACCCTGCTCCTGCACCTGCACAGAACGTGGCACTGGGCCCCTTGCTCCTTCTCAAGAGTACCGGCTACCTCTTATCTCAAGACCTCAAGTGATTTTCACTTTCCTATTCAATAAACACCTTTTGCTTTTCCAATCAGTGCCTGTTAGAGGCAGCTTCTGGCCCGCACTGGCTTTCTGAGCCGTAAGTAAACGCCAGCTTTGACAGCAAAAGAAAAGAGGAGAGAGAGAAGGTGGTTTAGAAGCGGGATGATGGGCTGGACATTTTCATCGATCACGATAAAAACACATTTCATTGAACTTAGAAAAACAAGACAAGACGAGGAGAGCAGTGGGGATGGGAATGTGCACACGCCCGCTGAGCACGGAGCCGGGAGTGGGTCGGGCCCTCCACGGGGCCGCCTGGCCTGACCCGGGAGCCCAAGCACCCTGGACCCGGCGTCAGAGCCCAGCAGTTCCGGGGTCCCGGATGGCGTGGCACCAGTCCTTGCTCTTCCTACTAGCACCCCCTAAGGGGCAAAGAGCAGGATATAAAATTGTGTATAAAATGTTTTTAATTATATACACCAGTGATCACAGCCGTGTTAAATGGCAAACACACTGGGAAGAGGGAAGAAAACCCGAAACCGCCCCCCCACACCACATTAGCAGAGGGTGCTTTGGGATGGCTGCAATAAGATATTTTCGTTTCTTGTCCCACTTTCCTACATTGTCTCGATTTTCTGTAATGAAGGTAATTTTTAATAGCTTTATTGGGATATAACAGATATACAAATGCACATATTTAATATATACTATTTGATGAGTTTGAACGTATGCATAATTTATATTATTTTTATGACGGAAGAATAACAATGCTATTAAATTAAAACGCCAGTGTGACCACTGGTACCCAGAGCCAATGCAGTCCATAAATGCTGGGCCGTTACCACGGTAACAGACACTAACATCTGCAGGCAATTTACAATTTATGTGTCAGTTTCACATCCGCTGCCTTCTCTGAAACTCATGCCAGCCCCTGAGGGGGATACCGCTATTATTTCCATTGGCAGCTAGAGAGATAGAGGACCCTGCACGGGGCAACCTCCCGAGCTGCTCGCGGGCCAGTGGGAAGTCCTGGGTTGGAGTCTTGGCTCCGGCGCCTTGGCTGTGTGGCCTGGGTTGGTCACACCACTTCTCTGAGCCTCAGTTTTGTGGCAGGACTATAACAGGGTGTGCCCGGGGTCAGAAGCCCCAGTGGGACTATGGAGTGTGGAGGTCTAGGAGGAAGGATCATGAGTCTAAGGAACAAGGAGTTACCAAAATTAACTGGACAGAAAACTAAAGCTCCCTCTCATCCTTGCTTCTGGCCTCTACAGACTTCGCAGTGGCCAGCTCAGAAGTGTGCAAGATGAGTAGTGGCTCAACCTTACTATGCAGGTTTGGGGGTCCTGACCTCCAGTCCTGCACTAGTCCCATCCTGGAAACATCTATGGAATAAGCAGGCCATGGCATTGCTTCCTCACGCTTTTGGGCCGGTAGATGTATCACCACTGATTCATTGCTACAGGAAGTATCTTCTAGGGCTTACCTTAGGAAAGGTTAATTCCCCTGAAAGCTAGAAATCCTTATCAACAAAACCTTGAAATCAGAAAATCCATTCTCCCATCTTGGAATATCTGACACATGTCCAGTCCCAATACCACCTCCCCCAGGAAGCCTCCCAGAGAGCACCGCTGCCCCCCAGTTCAGTGGTCTCTCCTACAACTACAGTCTCATGCCCACTGTGTGCCCCCTCATTGAATGTGGACCCCTTCCTACATGGGGGTGTCTATGTCCATGTTGCCTCTCATCTTGACCACAGAAGGGTCAATAACATCAACTCACGTGTCTTAAGTGCTCATTTGCCAGGCACTGTTCTAAATCTCTCCATAGGAGTTTTTGCTTCTAGCCTTGTGGCTCCTATTGGATCAACTCTCTCACCAATCACAACTATAAAGCCTCAACAGAAAAATAACAAAACACAACTACCTGAAGGCACTGGAGGGGACCAAATGCAGGTGGAACATGCAGGAAAATTAGCAATCACTCACCCAGTGAGCCATTTTCATGGCTTTTTAGTCTGAGGACAGGCCCTAGCCTGTGTCCTATAGCTGCTGAAACAGGTAGAAAGTCCTACTCTTAGGTCTCATAAACCAGGTGACAGAGGCTGGGGAAACCCTAGTAATAGCTGGAAAGTGAGGGAGTAAATTCTAGAAAGGGGGATCCCTGAGGGGGGCCCCCAAATACAGCACATAAACTCTGCCCAAATCTTTGGCCACAAAACATGCACGCACATGACAGACTCCAAGCAGCCCAGCTAAGACTAAAAGAAGTGAACTGGGGTTTGTGCCCATCACCCCAGAGATGGGGTTTGCAGTTGAGTTCAACCAAGTTAACTGCTCACAAACACAAAATAAAACAAAAACGCTCTTTGGAGGGACATACGAAACATCTAGAGTCTCTACGGTGTTATCATTCACAATGCCCAGGATATAATCCAAAATTATATGAAGACACACAAAGAAATAACACATCACCCATACTTAATATAAGGATAATTGATGGACACTAGCCATGGAATGCCCTGGATGTTGGAATTAGCAAATGAAAAAATTTAAAGTAGGTATTATAACTATGTTCAAGGATGTAAAGGGAAATTTGCTCCCACTGAATGAAAAGAAAGGACATTTCAACAGAGAAAGAAAAGCTATTTAAAAAATAACCAAACGGACATCCTATAACTAAAAAATACAGTATCTGAAACAGAAGACCACTGAATTGCTTAACAGAAACTTTGAGATGATAGAAGAAAGACAGTACACTTGAAGATATATCAATACAAATTACCTGATGTGAACAATAGAGAGAAAATAAATTTAAAGAAGAAAGAACAGATCTTCCAGGATCTGTAGGTGAATATCAAACATCTAACATACATGTAATTGGAGCTCCACAAGGAGTGGCGAGAGATAATAGGGTAGGAGAAAGACTTCAAGGGATAATGACTGAAAAAAATCCCCAATATGGGAAAAGACATCAATGCAGACAGTTGGGAAGCTCAGTTAACTCCGAAGAGGATAAATGCCAAAAAAAAACCACACCTAACCATTAAACTGCTGAGGACCAAAATAATGATAACATTTTATAAGTAGCTAGAATAAAACCATGTTGCATTCAGAGGCACCAGGACTCAAATGACTGCTAATTCTCATCAGAAATACTGGAGTCCAGGAGTGCCTGGGTGGTTCAGTCGGTTGGGAGGCTGGCTCTTGATTTCAGCTCAGGTCATGATCTTGGGGTCCTGGGATCAGCCTTGTGTTAGGCTTCATGCTGAGTGGAGAGTCTGCTTGAGATTCTCTCTCTCCCTCTCTCTCTGTTCCTCCCCCTGCTCACGCTCTCTCCTTTCTAAAATAAATAAACAAATATTTAAAAAAAGATACTGGAGTCCAAAAGTCATTCAAAGTGCTATTAAAAATCTATGAACCAGAATTCTGTATCCAGCGCAAATATTCTTCAAGAATGATAAGCAAATGAAGACTCAGTTAAAGCCTTCCAAGGACCAGAAGTCTAACCTTGGCACAATCCTATTGCCCTCTCATCATTCTCTCTTTACAGATAAGGAAACTGGGTCACAAAGAGGCAAGACACTTGCCCGAAGTCACACATGCAAGTGGGGCCTCTGCAGTGTGGGCTTCTGGCATGCCCCTGCACCACACTGTAGAGCCTCACGTAGGCTAAAACCTCAGGCTCAGGGTCCCAACTCAGCCACTGAGTGAGGTCTGCCAAGCCCACCCAGTCATGGGTGCTCCAAGTTACGCTGTCATGGGTGAAGAACAATCCCATGAAAGCCCATGCTGCCCTTCCACTTGGGAGGTCCCCTCTGCCTTCTGCTGCAGCTCTGGGGAGTCCCCCAAATGGCAAGGCTGGGTTGGAAGAGGCAGCTTGGACCATGCACAAGGAGAACCAATCAACTCCCTAGAATTGGGCACCATGCAGCCCTGGCAGGGGAAGCCCAGAGCTACCCAGTC